ATCCATGCTGAGTATGGAGTCTGCTTGGGATTCTCTCTCTCTCCATCTCTTTCTCAGCCTCACCCCCTCAAATAAAAAAAAAAAAAAAAAGAAGAAGAAAAAGAAAAAGAAAAAGAAAAAAGTTTTATATGGAAAACAAAGAACTTAGAATAGCTAAAACTATTTTGATAAAGGAGAACAGTGATGGAGCACTTACATTACCTGATTTCAAGAACAATATGTGGCTCTTACTAACAAACAATATGTAGTAAACCTAACTTTATCCTTTGGCTTATAAATTAACATTTCAATAACTTCCAAAAATGGAAAGGTAGGGCAGCTCTGAGATAAGCATGTAACTTCCAAAGAGGGCTACTGTGAAGGGTAATACTCATTTGGCATGATTGCTGGGGAGACAAATCCATGTTGAACATAAGCTTTGTGATCAAGACAGAACTGGGTTTAAATACTGGTTATGGTACTTACTTCTCAAAGCCTCAGTTTCTTCATCTTAAAATGGGGTACACAGGGGCACCTGGGTAGCTCAATCCATTGAGTGTCTGACTCTTGATTTTGGCTCAGGTCATGAACTCACTGTTCAGGAGATCAAGACCCACATCAGGCTCTGTGCTGACAGTGCGGATGGAGCCTGCTTGGGATTCTTTCTCTCTCCCTCTCCCCCTCTGCTGCTCTCATGCTCTGTTTCTCTCTCTCAAAATAAATAAATAAACTTTAAAAAATAAAATAAAATAAAATAAAGTAAAATGGGGTGCACAGCATAAAAATTAAGGAAATACAGCATAGAGGCTAAGCTCTATGTTATAACTCTGGAGTTAACCTACCTGGGTTCTATTCCTAGCTCTGCCATTTTGTAGCTGTGTTGCAAGTTAAAGTGTCCGTGCATCACTTTACTCATTTGTAAATTGAGGATACTAAAAGTGCCTATAAACGTTGTAATGTAATGAACATTAAATGAATTAGTAAACCTAAAGCACTTAGAACAGTCTAGTACATAAAAAGTACTTAAAAAACTATTACCTACTATTGTTATCATTTCTCTGTGTTACGAGGACTAAATGTGCTTACTTTCATCAACCACCAAGCAACGTCCCAGGTATCCAATAAATGTTAGCTCGCATCCTTCTGAGCATAAGCAGCATTCTGGCGGTAGGGTTTGACACTGAAGAGTGTATTTTGCAATCTAGGTGGCAATCATAAATTTCAGTTTCTTAAATTTTTTCTTTACTTGTTTTCCAATGTTTAAAAAATGCCTACTGACAGAATTATAATGCAAAATGGAAACTATAACACTGGATATCAAATATTACCCCTCCAAGACTCCATCACAGGCTGCATATCTCCTTTGATCCCAGCTGGCCATCATGTTCAGCAGTCTGCTGACCGAGGGACTACAAAATGCAAGCTGCCTCCCTCCTCTCCTCATCCCTTTCTTCTTCTTTGGTCACTTTAGGCAGAAACTACAGACACCATAAAACAGTCAGAAGGTTCTATTCTTCCTTTATTCCCTATCAAATGCAACAGCAAGTGGTGTCCAGCTGTTATCTTCCTGCCCTCCTCTTGAAGAACAACTCCTCAGCTGTATGAATAGTTGGGAGCCCCAGAACTGGCATTACTTGCTCAGTCAATAGGTCAGATGACAGCAAGGTTGTCCACCACTTATGAGTGGCTTTTGAGCTCACAACTTCAGAACCACACTGAGGGAGAGGAGGTGGTTGCACTTCTTTACTAATTTTCCTCGGAGAAGAACTCTTGATTGCATGGTAACAATTCTATGTCTTCATTAGGGATGCTGAGCTTTTGATGTTTATTTATATTTGAGAGAGAGAGGAAGATACAGAATCTGAAGCACCCTCCAGGCTCTGAGCTGTCAGCACAGAGCCCCACGCGGGGCTGGAACCCACGGACTGTGAGATTGTGACCTGAGCAGAAGTCAGACGCTTAACTGACTGAGCCACCCAGGCGCTCAGGGATGCTGAGCTTTTAAATTTTGTGTTCTAATTGAAAGATAAAAAGCAAGAAGGATTTTAAACAAAGAGACGTGAAGCAGAGGATCTTTACATATCCTATAGCCTATTCCTTTGTTGGAGATCTGCAGCCAGTCTCTGAGATGAGGAAATAGACCTTGGCTTTGCTTCTGTGAGAAGAGCCAATCATTAAATGCTGCAGGGAAGAGGAATGTTTGGATCTCTCAGGTCTATCCTGGGCATTTCCCCTGAAAAGCCTTCATAAGTTTATTTTCCAAAGATAAGACTTCGCCTTCACTGTCTTCACTCCCCTGGGTCTAGAGCCCCAGCTGCCCATGTCTCTGTATTGGCCATGTCTCTGGGCCCCGCCAGTAGACACAAACTTTCACATTATTTTGCAGACACTGTTTCTCCTCATTGTCTCGGTTTCTCTGCATCACAATAGGGTGTGGATGTCACATATTTCCTTTTCCTTTAAACCATTTTAGTGATGCTACCCTGTGCCTTTCTCCATTGATAATAATAAAACTTTTCCCAACAGCCCATCTTGTCTACCCAGTAGAAAGAAAGCTTTCCCCTCCTTCCCTGCCCAGCCTGTTGCTTCCCCCCCCCCCCCGCCCCCTCCCATTTTTCCCTTAGAATGATCCACTGGGAATAAAGACCTTTCTTACCAGGAGAGGCTGAGTGTTCCTCTGAAAGGGACCACAGCTCTGACAGGGTTATGTTTGTGTTATCAGTGGCACTTCAATCTCAGTACCAAGGTATTACAGACAGGATGTGTGAAGAATGTGAGCTTTTTTTTTTAAATCATCTGCCAAAAGTCAACTTTTCTACAGCTATTTGAAATCCTCCTCCCCTCCCCGTCTCAATTCCTAGTCTCACTACACTTTTACTAATTAATGTTTATTTTCCCACCCCCAAAGACTCTGTTTGTATATGCCTACAGTGTGGCAGCATCCTGAACTCTAGGAACTCTCTGGCTATAGTAGAGTGTAGATAATGTATAAACAGGAAATAAAAATTAGACATAAAAAAGAGAGATCTATTGTAAATATTAAGTCTCTAGTATGAGTTTTCTAACCCTTTCTAGAAACATTAAAATGTAGGCACATACATCTTCATTGCCTAAAGCTTCGAGTCAAGAATTAAGTTGATATTGAACACCATTCTGTGTGCGTTGCCACTGGCTCGCTCACTCACTCATTCATTCATTCAGCAAATACTTATCGTATATATGCCAGGATAGAGGCACTGTGCCAGGCACTAAGCTTGCATACAGAGATAAGAAAGGGTTCTTGTCATTACAGAACTCCTATTCTAGTGGAAAGACAAATAATTATAAAATAAGATTGGTAAGTGGTATGTTAGAGGAATTAACACATGGTGTAGGAACACTGGGGAGGAAAACGATCAAATGAGTATAGGATGAATGCATTTATCGACAATTATTAATGACTACTATGCACCAGGCGGTGCTGGGGCAACAGTGAAAAAACAAATTCTCTGTCTTCGCAGAGTTTACATTCTAGTGAAAGAGACCGGCAATAACAAAAACCAAAAAACAAAACAACAAAAAAAGATGTACTATCAGGATGCAGGATAGAGTTATAGAAGGAAGGTATGAGTTGGTCTGGCAGGATAAATAGGTGTTAGCACAAAAGGGCATTCCTTGGGGCGCCTGGGTGGCTCAGTCGGTTAAGTGTCCGACTTCAGCTCAGGTCCGCGGTCCGTGAGTTTGAGCCCCGCGTCGGGCTCTGGGCTGATGGCTCAGAGCCTGGAGCCTGCTTCCGATTCTGTGTCTCCCTCTCTCTCTGCCCCTCCCCCGTTCATGCTCTGTCTCTCTCTGTCTCAAAAATAAATAAACGTTAAAAAAAATTAAAAAAAAAATAAAAATAAATTCTTAAAAAAAAACAAAACAAAACAAAAGGGCATTCCAATCTTTGTTTTAAAACAAAACAAAACTTGGGGCGCCTGGGTGGCGCAGTCGGTTAAGCGTCCGACTTCGGCCAGGTCACGATCTCGCGGTCCGTGAGTTCGAGCCCCACGTCGGGCTCTGGGCTGATGGCTCGGAGCCTGGAGCCTGTTTCCGATTCTGTGTCTCCCTCTCTCTCTGCCCCTCCCCCGTTCATGCTCTGTCTCTCTCTGTCCCAAAAATAAATAAATAAATAAAACAAAACAAAACAAAACTCTGGGATGGAGGAGAGATGGCTGGAGAGGAGGGATGTAGGAGGTGGGAATGGATGAGAAAGGGCATGAAATATTATGCAAAGGGAGTTACTAGGTGTGTCATTAGGTGGGTCACAGGCGCAGTGGGAGGGATAGGGTGCATTTTTCCCTAAGACAGCATTAGGAAGAGAATTCATTCTAAACTGAATGTCAGAACCAGAAGGGACATTAGAGATAAAAATGAACATACAACCTCATTTTACAGATGACTCGCATAGGGTGCAGTTATGTGTCCCAGCTAGACGGAGGCACAACCAGGATGAACCCGTTTTTCTGCACAGCTCAGCCCCCGCCTCAGTCTCCGAAGAAGTTGCTGCGGGGGAGCGGTGCCGTGCGGAAAGGCAGCCTCGGTCTCGGGATCCCGACACACACCGCCCCCTATCGGTGCTTCCCCGCAGAGCCTCTTCCCTGTTAGCCTCGAGCAGGGGCTAGCCAGGCGCCGCCGAGCGCCCCGGGCCGGGCAGGCAGAAACAGCGACGTCTCCCCGTCCGTGGGGACCCGGGGGCGCGCCCAGGCCCCCACCCACTCCACCTGTTTTCCTCTGCCGCCGAGCGGCTCCCCGGCTGGGAGTGCGGAACCCGCGACCCGAGCCCCTCCGGCAGCTCAGCATCTCCCCGCGGCGTCGCGGGGCGTGCGTCCCGAGCCGCGGCGCAGGCCGAGCCCTGCAATTGGCGGCGAAGTTGGCGGCGTCTCGAGCAACGCCCTTTAGCCGGCTTTCCCGGCGGCCGGGACCCTGAGGCAGGGCTCCACACCACCCGCCCGCCCCTCCGCCCCACCCTTCCTCCCCCGCCCCGCCGCCTCCTCCCCGCCCAGGGTCCGGGTCGAGCCGGCGCGCCGCGGAGCTCGGGCCGGCGCAGCCGGGGCGCAGAGCTCCGAGCCATGGGAGCCTCGCACTCTCAGAGCCCGCGGGGCCGGGAGCCGGCCGGGGAGAGGCCCCCGACAGCCCGAGAGAGCGCGTGAGTCCCTGAGCCCTCCGCGGGGCCGCAGTTCGGGGGTTTGCGTGCCAGCCCGGGATGCGAGCGCACGGCGCCGGTCCCTCAGGGGCCGGGAAGGTGGGGCTCCCGCCCGCGCCCGAGGGCTCCGGGTTGGGCCTGGTGGGACGTTCCGTCCCGAGCCTCGCCCTGCGGGGCCCGGGGGCGCCCGGCCACGACCCCACCGCGACAGAATCGCGCCCAGGCGGGGCTGCTGCCCGGCGCATGTTCACGCTGCGCGGGTGGGAGAAAGGGGCCCCGAGTTTTTCCGAACTCGTCCGGGCAGGGAAACACATGTGTCCTAAAGGGCTCTGAAGTATTCGCGAGACAGCTATTTGCAGGGAAGTGTAGATATTAGAAAGGGGCTCGAGTCTCCGATAATTTGGCTCGTGTTGGCCTTTGGAGTGCAGGAATTTGGATGCAGTGCTTGCTGCTCATGAGAACTCCCTCTCTTGTTTGCTCCGAGGGCTTCATGATGATCTCAGAAAAAGGGCTGTATTGTAGCAGCAGCAATTAGGCTTTTGTTCTGGGACAACAACAATTGGGGACACCAAGTAACTGAAATGCAAGCTGCGAAGGAACACTTTTAGAGAACGTGATTTAGAGCAAATTAGTTGCACGGTTTGCAAGGTGGCCACGCTTCTCGCCAGAGAGGATGCGTTGCTAACTACTTGAGAACCCAAACAATAGTTAACCTTTTCATTTAAAATTAATTTTGGAGCGTGTGTGTAACTTGGAGGTGAGGTAATGTAGAGGAACTCATACTGTATTTTCAGTCAGCCAGTGACAAAGCTATTTCGTTTGAGAAGGATACCCTGGGCCTTGACATACAACAGTCTGTGCCATGGGAGGGCTTTTGATCATCTTTTTTTCCCTTTCTTTTTAATGTTTATTTATTTTTGAGAGAGAGAGTGCGAGCAGGGGAGGGGCAGAGAGAGGGAGACAGAATCCAAGTAGGCTCCAGGCTCGGTGCTGTCAGCACCGAGCCTGAAGCCAGGCTCGAGCCCACAAGCAGTGAGATCATGACCTGAGCAAAGTCAGGCTTAACCCACTGAGCCACCCGGACGCCCCTTGATCATCTTTTCAAGGCAAAGTAGCTTTCTGAATATCTAAATAATAGGCATGTTGTGCCTCCTGATGTTTATGTATGAACACGAAACTTAGTTCAGGCAGCTTATTAATTGTTAAGGAGCTGAAAATTATCCAGCGTGTAAAATGTGCAAAAACCCTCTAAATACAAGCATGTACAATGCGCAAAAACATTCTTTTAAGTTATTTAACCCCCAAGAACATTGAGTTCATTTCTATTACTGCCCTTGTTTTACTGATGAGAAAACTGAAGGACAGAGAGATTAAGTGACTTGTTCAAGGTCACACAGCTAGAAAGTGGTGGACTCCCATTGTCTGACTCCAGAGCTCTTGCTGCAGCTGCCTCCCACAGGAGAGTTAGGGCTGTCTTAGGAAGCAACTTTTGTCTCAGCTGGCAGACTGCATCCCACTTTTTTTTCCTTTAATTCTTCCTGCATAAGGCAGGAATCTGAATTAGCAATGCTTAGTACCTACTAAAAGGAAATTGCCAAAGTTGATTTAACCTTTTTCAAAAACAAACATGAGACGCAGTGTAACATTGAGATGAAGTTAAGAGTTTTGGAAGCACATAATCCTGGGTTTAATTCTAGGCTCTGCTCCTTAACAGCTGGAGATCTTTTATCTGTTCCTTAACCTCTCTGTGTTTGTTTCCTTATTTGTAAAATGGGAATGAAAACCATGTCCACTTGATAGGCTGTTCTGAAGGTGCTATAAAATCATGTATGTACAAAAAACAAGTTATAGTTTTATCTCTGAACAATATATTGTTTTACCTAAGAATAAAAATTGACTAATCTTTGTGAACATGTGGCAGGGTTTAACTGTGTAATTTGAAAGTAAATATTGGGATCATTCACTGGTAGCGTGCCGGAACTCAGTACTTTCTGTGTAAGGTTCAGTTGTTAGGGTGAGGAATTTGATTCTCAGTTGTTAGATTATCCAGTGGCTTGGCGATAGATAGAGGATCTTTCTCTTCAATGAAGTTCTTCTGTGTACTTTAGATATTTAGCAAAGCTTGCCTAAATATGATCAACATAGAAGCCCATCTTTGATCTTCACCTGGGAATATAGCCCAATTTAATACATCAAGAAGCACACAGGGACCTGGGTGGCTCAGTCAGTTAAGCGTCGACTTTGGCTCAGGTCACGATCTCTTGGTTCATGGTTTGGAGCCCTGCGTTGGGCTCTGTGCTGACAGCTTGGAGCCTAGAGCCTGCTTCGGATTCTGTGTCTCCCTCTCTCTCTGCCCCTTTCCTGCTCATGGTCTGTCTGTCTGTCTGTCTCTCTCTCTCTCTCTCTCAATAAATAAAAACTTTTTAAAAATTAAAAAAAAAGAAGCACAGAAACTCATGTAGCTGGTGATAGGATTATTTGGTCTCATCAGAGTGTGCAGATTCTGTTTAAGAAGTCAGCCTACAAACGACTTGGCATGCACCAGGTCAAAGATTAGAAATATGAGATTCCATGCCTGTCATATGAAAAGCTAAAAGTATGCTTTGTCCAAGCCCTGCCTTATTTAGATGTACAAGCCACAAGTGTCTCCAGGGTCTGAGAAAATGGGGGATTCATTGTTAATGTCACTCGGCTGCAGATTTCCTGCCGGACATATGGCTGTCGTGGATAACACTGACCTTAAGGAAGTTCTCCTACTCAAGCCTTTTCAGTTACATTTTCAAAATCTATTGTTCCTTTTTTAAATAAGTAAATAAATACTTGAAAATCTCACAAGGAAAGCATTACTGCTGGCATCTGCCTTTTGAGGAAGAAATTATGTTTCAGGATGTTCACAATTTATATTTTGGAATAATTTAACCTAGTGCTAAAATTAGCCAGATAAATCTTTAGTGACAGCTGTATTGTGAAATATAAGGAAGTATGGATGTACATGAAAAGAAATGTCTGATTTTAAGATAATAGTCATTATTTTTAATGTTTATTTATTTTGAGAGAGTGTGTGAGTGGGGGAGGAGCAGAGAGAGAGAGGGAGAGAGAGAATCCCAACCAGGCTCAGTCCTCAGTGTGCAGCCCCACTCAGGGCTTGATCTCACAACTGTGAAATCATGATCTGAGCTGAAATTAAGAATTGGACGCTTAACTGACTGAGCCATGCAGGAGCCCCAAGATAATACTCATTATTATTTTTAATGATTAAGAACATTTGGGGGGGGGGCACTTGGGTGGCTCAGTCAGTTGAGTGTCTGACTTTGGCTCGCGTCATGATCTCCTGGTTCGGGAGTTCAAGCTCCACATCAGGCTTGCTGCTATCAGCACAGAGCCTGCTTCAGATCCTCTGTCTTTCTCTCTCTGCCCCTCCCCTGCTTGCACTCTCTCAAAAATAAATAAAACATTAAAGAACATTTTGTTTAAAGCTTATTTATTTTGAAAGAGACAGACAGTGTGAGTGGGGGAGAAGCAGACTGGGGGAGAGAGAGAATCTCAAGCCTCAACCCACGAAGCCAAGAGATCATGACCTAAGTGGAAACCAAGAGTCAGACGCTAAACTGGCTGAGCTACCTAGCCTCCCCAATACTGATTATTATTGAAAATTGTAGCTGTTTCCCTTCCCCAGACCCAAAGAAAGAAAACTGCTGCTTTGGTAAATGGTAGGGGAAATGTCACTTCATTTATTCAGGGAGGCTGCACATTATGGTGATTAGGAACAGAAGCTGTGCACTGAGGCAGACTCAGGTTAGAATTCCAGCTAGATCGCTTACTTAGTTCAGGAAGCTTTGGAAAACAGTTAATTTCTTCAGCTGAGTAAAATTTTTACATCTTTAAAATGGCAGTAATCATAACTACCTTTTTTTTGAGAGAGAGCGAGCGCGGGGGAGGGGCAGAGAGAGAGAGGTAAAGAGAATATCAAGAAGGTTGGACACCCAGTGTGGAACCCAGTGCCAGGCTTCATCCTGCGATGTTGAGATCATGACCTGACCTGAAATCAAGAGTCGGACGCTTAACTGATGGGAGCCAGCGAGGCGCCCCTCATAACTACTTTTTGAAGTGGTGTCTGTTATTAGTGCAGGGCCTGGTACTTACTGAGGACTCGATACCTAAGTTATTATGAGTACATTTACATATAGCTATAAACCAGATGCTATGCTATTTTCTTTGGGATGTATATTTTTGAAAAAAGTAGCATCTTTTCTGAAGGGAAGATTGACTTGTGTCCTAATTCAACAAGGCAATAACTTTTTCAAGTTAATTTTTCCTCAGTTAATTTCCATTTTCCAGAAAGATGCACTATCAAGAGGATGGACGTGTGTTTGGGAATATGGTACTTTGGAGAAGTATTTGAAATCAGTGATTCCTTAGGTGATTTTTTTTTTTAATGTGGCTAGGGTGGGTTTTCTAAGAACAAGTAATTTGTGGAGAGATTTGAACAATGACATAAACAAAGCCTCTTATTCATTAGGGAATATGGTGTGTAACTAATTCATTTACTGCTCGTTGAGCTTGTCTGCCTGGAATGCAAGATATGAACCTGCTGTCAATTTTTATTAAATTTCTAGACCAGTCTTTGTTTGCATTTGGAATATATCGTAATGGAATAAGACATTGGCAAAGTCGGGACGAGTTTGAGGTTTTGAGTGTTTTTCCCATGCACCTTTCTGATCATGTGAATCAGATGCGGTTTCTACAAGGTTCTGGTGACCTGCGAAATCAGCAACAATTAAACTGAAGTGCCCCTTGACGGGCAAGTCACTTTGGGACAGATGCCCCTGACATGAAAAGGGAAGCACTGGCTTTGAAGTTTTAGACACAGGAAAATATAACTCAAAATAAGTGAACTTTGAGAATTATGTTTCTGAAACCCAGTGCGATTTATATTGTCCTTAAAAACACTTAGGTTCCCGATTGCTATAGAAAATTTTTAAATGCCCATGTTTGAATGGCTC